TACACATAAATTAAGCTGCTTTTCGCTCTCATTTACATACATATGCATGTGTGCGCGTGTGCTGGTGGGATGCGTACACACACACTTGTTATTGCTGTCATATATTTTTGTTCGTATTTACACATGTCCCAATTGATAGGCGTTCTCTGCTCTTCCCTATTTTGCTCTTCATTCTTAGCGCACGGTTTTGTTCTGGTTGCGTGTCGGTGCTGGCGTCGCAGTCGCAGTCGCTGCCCTGCCATAATTTGCAGCCACACGATAATCCGCAATCGGCAATTAGGTTCATTAGGGTGCGGCAGGTGCGTCACAGTGAGTGTCAAAACTAAATGGCTGCATTAAGCTCAAATAGAGTGTTTGGGTGTGGCCATAAATACCCTGTAAATATGAGCTGTATGCATAATTGATGAAGTTATACGATAGTTGGAAATGCTCGATTGATAGATACCCTGTCAAAACTGAAGCGATTTTACCTATTTTATTTTCTTTTCTACTTGGGTTGTTAGTTTAATTTTGTTTATATGTTTAATCTATTTATTAGTTTTTATTTATTTGATTAGTTTTTACATATACTCTATAGCCATTGTACATTTTGATTCGCTACTTTATAATATAGTTCATTGAGTCTCATACACTTGAGTAGCTCAACTTTTGTCACACACTGTCCGTTGTCTCATGTCGTGGATTATGGCTAAAACAAGTTTTGGTCATTAGAAGCGAGATAGAAATAAAGATAGATAGACATTATATATAGATATTGAATGTAGAGATACAGCTTCTTCTTCTTCTTCTTGTATGAGTAATACATAATTTGCGTGTGCGTATGCGTGTGCGTGTGCGTTTACTATCGTCAGGTACTTTTTAATGGACACACTAACAATTCGTCTCGCTACGTTTCAATTCGATTCGATATTTCCGCCTGCTGCTTAGGCGCAGCAATTAAAAAATTGACAGCTGCTCTGCCAATTAATCTAGCATAAAAATCCTAATGAAAACACACAAAAAACAACAACAACAGCAAATAAATATAAATGTCTAAAACAAACGCAAATCCAGATAAATTGTTATAAATGTCTTTTCGAATTAAGTTCATAAATTAAGCCAAAAAAAAAAAAAAAAAAAAAAAAAAAAAAAAAAAACAATAAAAACAAAAAAAGAATGTCAGCTATAAATTCTCATATCGAACTGTTGAAAGTTGCGCCAAGAGGTTTTTGGCATCAGGAAATTGCCCACATCAACGGCTCGTGTCGATATCGAGACGAAAACGAACTCGAATCGAAATCGAAATGGAACATTAAACTGCTGTTTGCTGTAAGCCCCATCTCCCTATTCCTGTACTGTATACTATACTGTAACTAACGTTTAACAGTCTGGTGTGTGTGTATACTGCACACATGTAACACATTATCTTCGAATTCGCATATTCACCAGGGAAATTATGCAAATATTGTCAATTTTCTCTTTGATAAATTGCCTAAAAATTTTGAATAGTTAAATTTCCCTATTTGGCATAAGGCCAATTATCTAAACTTCTCTTTTTATGTCCGTTCTGTTTTAAGGAAATTATAAAAATTTATACATACATACATTTTTCATATTTCATTTAGCCTTAATTGAAATTTTTATTTAAGTAAATTGTCTACTATTATAAATTTCCTTTTTTTATAGTCGATTTTCCCTTGTCCTTTTCTATATATTCCCTACACAATACTATTAGTGTCTTTTACTCAATTTTCCCTTATACAATTGGTGTTTTATTGATAAATTGCCGATTGCATATATTTCCCTTTATATTCTATCTTAAGACCATATATTTCCCTTTATATTCTATCTTAAGACCATTTATTGCAAATTTAATATTTCTCCATTTAGCATAATTTTTTATTTGATTTTCTTATTAAATTGTTTATAGATTTTAATTTCCGATTCTTATATTCATATTTTTAATTGACCTTAAATTCTTATTGGTTAATTCCCAAAATTTATAATATGCGATAGAGAGAGACTAAATATGAAAAACCCAATTCCTCTACTCACACATTATTATTAGCAAGGGAATTTTCCTTCGTCTCCTCAACACACAGTACCATTTTAGCTGTGCAGCTTATGAGCGCACTTACCCGCTTCAAATTGCCCACGATTGCACGAGTCTATTAACAGTGTAAAATTTCCCTACTTAATACATTTCCCTACATAACGCACCTAAGAACAACAGAATTAAAGTACATAAACACATATTAGGTTTCTCTTTGCATCAGGTAATTCCAGCTATTCATTTATAAGAGCATTCAACATCCGTTGAGCTCATTAATCTTCTACTTCTCTTCTTTTTCTCCACTAAAGATTAATTAGATGAACGTTATTTATGTTTTGCAAATGACCGCTTAGCACGATTTTATGTGCATTTGCTTATCTAATTGAATTGATTGAGCTAAAGGGGAAAGGTTACTACGCAGTCATTCTGCGATATTATTGCCTGCTGTCTGCTTCTTCTTTTTCTACTACTCTCAAAGCGGAAATCTTTTGATGCGCTCTCGCACCAGCCGCAGCCGCTGCAGTTCAATTTCAGTGTCTCGCAAGCTTCAAGAGCGCCTGGAAGTCAACTGTACAGAGTTTCTGCTTAACTACGCATTCTTAGGCGCGCCTGGAAGTCTGCTGCGCAGTGTTTCTGCTCGCGCCAAGGAGCGTGCTACAGAAATAAAAAATCTCTCGTTTTTACTTTTCTTTGCTTGTTTTTTTTTTTTTTTTTTTTTTTTGCTTTTTATTTAGGATTTATACAATAACTTAACATTTGTTTGAGTTTTGGAATCGGAAATATACAATATTAAATATTGATTTCATGTTTTTTTTTTGTTTATTTTTTTAGTTTTATTTCTGATTTTTTTTTTTTGTTTGCTTAGTTTTTTTTTTTTTTTTGTTGATTTTGTTTATTGGAAATTTGAATTAGCACATATTTCGGGGCTTGTTTTTTTTTTTATTTTTTCATATTTCTTTTAATTTTAATTTTTTATTACTTTTATTACGTTTTTTTTTTTTTATATTATTACATTTACCAAATGCAGCACATTAATGCTTACGCTGTGTGTGTTTTTTTTTTTTGTATGTGTTAGTGTGGGTGGCGGTCCTCATCGGTGTTTCTGTCTTACTATTTTTTTTTTTTTTCTATTTGGCTAGCGAAAAAAAGTCCCGCTACATAAGCACAAATATCACTAGGCTGCAGTGCGTATATATGTGTGTGTAACTTGTATCTGTATATGCGTGTGTATTTGGGTGGGTTGGTTGTGTGTGATATACATACACACATATGCATCTATTTCAGTTATCTTGCTTGTTTTTTTTTTTAAGAAATGTTTCACTCACGCACACACACCCAGTATGTTTTAGAGAGTGTGTGTGTGTGTGGGGCACCAAAAGCCTGGCCTTCGTTAGAATATACTTAAACAGAGTTCGAGTTTTTTTTTTTTAATAATAGTTATAAGTGCGCGACATTACAATGCATGCTGTATTCTGTGCGTTTTTTTTTTTTGTAAAAGTTCAACTGGGATAACTGAAAAAAATGTGCCGTTATACTTTTGTTTTTTTTTTTTTAACGCTTTCTCGCTCTGCTTATTACAGAGTGTGTCTGTGTGTGTGTGTTTTTTTTTTTTTTTTGTTTATATGTATGTATTTTATGTAAGTATGTATGTATGTATGCGTGTTTTTTTTTTTTCTTTTTATTTAGTTTTTGTTGTATATTTTGTTTAAGGTTTTAACATTTAATTTTTTTTTTTTATTTTCATCGTCATATAAATAAAAAATAAATACATTTTTTTTTTTTTTTCTTTTTTTTTTTCTGTTCCTTCTCGTTATGCATGCAAGCAAAAACTGTTTCTGTTCTTATTTTCTCTTTTTGTTATCGACTTTTTAAATACTCTTTAAAAAGCTGCTCTAATTTTACATATACGAAAAAATATATAATATAC